TTTTTTTTTTTTTTAAACCTTAAATATGTAATCCTTGATGTTCATGTCATAAAATAAGGACTAGACACCATCATTATGACTAGCTTATTGCTTCCATGTTGCTACCCCTCCCTTCCAGATAAACTAGTTTGTTCTGTTACAGTTTAGAATTTATTCGAATTATATCTCTCATTTCATAATTTGACGTCAGGGCCTGTAATGAGGTTGGAATTTTGTCTGGTGGACCTTCTTTTCACCTTTAGAACTTGCTAATTCTTTTTCTTTTCATAAATAAATTTAGAAATGTCGAACCAGGAGCTTGTTGATGCTGGAATGAAGACAATGGACGAAACTGACCAAGCCATTGAACGCTCCAAACAGGTAGACGGTAGAATTTATGTGCATTCTTGAAATTTAGGTTCAGGCAGATGGCATTCTAAAGTCATTGTTGCTCATAGGTTGTTCACCAAACTATTGAAGTGGGAACACAAACTGCAGCTACTTTGAAAGGCCAAGTTAGTGCGCGCTTATCTTTTGCAAACGTCAATTTTCATTTTCGTATGGGTGTTTGGCTGCCTGACCACTGATGTACTTTTCCAATTGATACAGACTGAACAAATGGCTCGCTTGGTAGATGAGTTGGACAAGATCCAGTTCTCTATCAAAAGGGCATCAAAACTCGTAAAGGAGATTGGTAGACAGGTAAATTAATCAAGCTAATGAACTGTGCTTTTCTTTTTCTTCCCCTTCTCTTCTTTTGGTATGGGAAAATTAAGTTACATGTTTTCCAGGTGGCCACAGACAAATGCATCATGCTTTTACTCTTTTTGATTGTGTGCGGAGTTATTGCCATAATTATCGTCAAGGTACCTTCCTCATCCCATGATGTGCTTTTCTTTCGCAATCTCACCTTTTCTGCTTTAGGTTTATCTGTACTTCCTTCTCTTTTTGCCCTGTGAGTGTTATGTGCTGAATGCACGACTCTCGTGGCAACTGATGGATCTCGATTATTTACGTGCACATTATAGATTGTGAATCCCAACAATCGAGACATAAGGGATATTCCTGGACTAGCTCCACCTGCTCCAACTCGGAGGTTGTTGTTTGTAAAAGAAGCACCATGGAACAATAATTTTTGAGGATATTGTTCGTTTCAGATCAGAAGCATCCGGGTTTAATTTTTGTTGTGGTGTCAATTTTTTAATCTGCTTCATTGTGGTGGTAATTCTTTTTATTCATGTGAATGGCTTTACCATCGTGTAAACCGTTGGATATCATACGCGTTCCTCGTAAAAACAAATCTGTACTTACGATTTACCGGCTGGTGTGTACCTATGTAACTATGAGATCCTGTATCATTAGTATTTGATTACATCTTGCGCGCACCTTATTTTACCTTATACTGATCTCATTCCGCACTCTGCAATTTTTTTTTACTGCAGCTGCATTTTTTGCATGTTCTCTGCGCTTAAGGGGCTGTTGGGTTTATCAGTTTCTACTTTGATGTTGTTATTTGTACACATTGCTGAATGCCAATGTATACTTGGTAATGAGCTTTTTTTAGCTCTAAGACTGACAGCTAAATGTTGAAATTTAACTAATGTATCTATCGCTATTGTTTGGGCATTGTCTTATGAGGGTTTTAATTGTCCGATTCACATTTGAGCGAGGGTGTATTGGTAGAACGATTAAAACTATGTAGGTGAAATTTTCTGGTGTTGAAGTTCTGGAACGGTGTTACAATTAAAGTACATGGAGAGAAAAATGATAGGAAAAAAGACATCGAGTAGGCACAAGTAGGGCTGCAAACGAATCGAGCGACTCACGAGCCGCTCGCGAGCGCTCGAGTCAAAGCTCGACTCGAGCTTGAGTTTGACCGAACTTGAGTCGCGCTCGAGCGTCTCGAGCACGAACTCGAGTCGAGCTAGAGCCCATATTTTGTATTGTCGAGCGACTCGATAGTACCTCTTATATATATATTTAAATAGTATAACACGGGAGCTTGATGGTAATTTCTCGAGCCGAGCTCGAGCATTTTAATTTCGAGTCGAGCTCGAACTATTGTGTTTTCTTATCAAGTCAAGTCGAGCTCGAGCCTCATAAATCGAGCTCGACGAGCTCAAGCAGCTAAAAAAGTTCAATCATGCTCGATAAGACCGATGTTCGACTCGACTCGCCTCGTTTGCAGCAGCCCTAGACACAACAACAATTATTTGTTGTTGTGATGCATGAAGTTAGACTTGGTCAAATGACGGGTCTTGACCCGGCACGTCGGGTCGACGGGCCTCAATTTGATGGCCAATAACTGGCCCGACCATTTCCATGTTAGAGTAGGATACCCGGCGTTCCAATCAAATTGGACGTATTCTACTTGTAAATACAATCTATTGGAATTATATTAAATAATAAGGCATTACTTTATTTTAAGAGTAAGCATTTATCATATATTTGCACTTAAGATAAAATCCCTAGATCACTTATAGCTATAAGATATGGTTGCGCATAGATATGGTGATCTTGGAACATATCTTGAAAGCTGTGATTTTAAATACAGTTCGAAGTCGTTGCATATTTCGAGATGGGATATCGAATAAATCCGGAAAAGACTTGCACATAGTATGTATGCTTATTGGATAAGAATGTTGCATTCCATCAACATTAGCGTGGGACGCAAATAC